GACATAAGCGAAAATTTGAGTTTGCTGATAATGCTCCACTTTCGAGAAAAAAAAACCTATAAACATTTAAGTAGATATTTTCAGATGACTAACCTTCCAATCATTGTCTTACCGATGTTAAACGCAATGATGTTACGCCGATACATCAGAGAGGTAAACAATCTTTCTGCAACTCACAGAATTTATTTTTCTTAGAAATAATCGCTTTTTGAGGGTTCTACTACCGTAAAACTAATATTTCGGCAATAGGCGTAAAGTTCATAGAATTTTATTTACTCTAAGATGTGCTTCCATAACAGTGCGGTAGACGGCACTGAAATACGATCACTCTTTGTGGCGAAGCCGCAGGCACGCATTTGTGCCCCGCTTCTCTAGGTCCTGCTAGCGCCAAGGTGGTCCTCTTCCCGTTGCCCAAAATTACAGGGCCAACACGAACTCGCTCCAGGATGGAATCCTCTTATGGCTCCCCAGATCCGGGTTCATTTGTTACTATGGCACCCTATGGTACTCCTTGCAAACCTATCTCCAATCTCCCCTCAATTCATCTGATACCATCCATTTTCCAAAATGCCCCTTGTGCGGGAGTTATGATATAACTGCTGAAAGAGCGAAAATCAAAAAATTACCACTACTCACAAAAGTACAATTCTATGTCAACGAATATGATTTCTTATTAAAAATCGCAAGCCGACGAACTTTATGGGTGTTACCCAACGGACGGCTGATCCTTGTAGGCCCCCATTTTACCGTGACCCACAGGATTTGGGCCACATCATTGCCGAAATACTTTTCAACTAGTTTTTACCAAAGCGCAATCCTTAAAAAACTCCGGACGCTGCCCTACTTCCCATTTCTCGATCGGTGAAAGTACCCATATATCTGGAAATTTTTTTTAAACTGTAGCAGTCGTACTTTTAGTGTTTCCTACATGAACAGCTCTTCTTAATCGGCATCAAGAGGCTGCTCAATGTGAAGTAATTCAGGTAAATCCTGGCCTCCTCGTACCTCAACTACTACTCACCTTCAACGGTTTGGCTTCCACTTACTATCATGCTACACTAAACTTATTCGGTGAGTCAGTTGGTTTTCAGGAAATCTTGGAATTGGTAACAGGTTCTATTCGGCTGACTTCAGAGCCATTGAAGGTTTTCGTCGAAGAAGTCCACCCCTAAATTCCTTACAATTAGCCCCTGAACTGCGACTTTTTTTTGAATCATCGATGTGCTTTGTGTAGTACCTGCATATCGCTCCTGACAGCTAATCATCTGTAGAAATTTGGCTGACGTACGCGGATGACCTTCGATTTGACCAAGAGACCATGCGCGCGATAGCGTCCTCTCTTCGTTTCGGCTTCCGGCTTCTCCTTCTTTTTAACCC